CTTCTCTGAAGAGGAAATGCGAATGGCCAACAGGCATATGAAAAAATGTTCAACATCACTTGCAATCAGGGAAATGCAAATCAAAACTACCATGAGATACCATCTTACACCAGTGAGAATGGCACATATTAAAAAAACTAGCAACAACAAATGTTGGCGAGGTTGTGGAGAAAAAGGAGCTCTTCTGCACTGTTGGTGGGAGTGCAAACTGGTCCAACCACTATGGAGAGCTGTGTGGAGATTTCTGGACCTACTAAACATAGAGCTTCCACAGGATCCAGCAATTCCACTCCTAGGTATTTACCCAAAGAACACAGAAACATCAATTCCAAAGAGCACCTGCACCCCTATGTTTATAGCAGCACTGTTTACAATAGCTAAGCTTTGGAAGCAGCCCAAATGCCCAAAAATAGATGACTGGATCAAGAAGATGTGGTCCATATATACCATGGAATATTACTCAGCATTCAAAAAAGATAAACACATGCAATTTGCAGCAACATGGATGACGCTGGAAGGGATCATGCTCAGTGAAATAAGCCAAAAAGAAAAAGAAAAATACCGGATGGTCTCACTCATAGCAGGGATCTAGAAAACTTAAATAAGGGACCAGGAAAATGAATAACTATAAGAAAGTGAAAATCAAAATCAACAAAAACTATGAACCAGAGACACTTTTTGGGGGGTGGGGGGCGGGAGGGGAGGGATTGGGGTCAGAATGGGGGGATTGCAATTGTATGGGGAATATAAAAATAAAATTTATTAATTTAAAAAAAATAATTTATTTCTAGAAAAATATATTTTATTGATTGATGTAATCTTTGTACATCATTAGCTTTACTCAGAGAAATATAGACTTAGAATTTTAAATCTAAAAAAAAAAAAAAAAGTTAATGGGGGGCCTCCCAGGTGGCGCAGCGGTTGAGCGCTGAGTTGCAAAGCTGCTCGGCAGCCTGTGCAGCACCAGTTCGATCCCCGTCTGCTCCCCGGCCACCAGAGGAGGGTCCTACATGGCGCGCAGACCTCTCCTGCCGCCCGCTGCTCCCCTCAGCAGTGTACCTCGGTCCTTCTGCCTGTTCTGCTTCCCGCTCTGGCTCTGGTGAATTCTCTTACCCTCCCGCGCTTCTGACTGTATCCAGTGCTTGTATAAAATAAATAAAGAAATCTTAAAAAAAAAAAAAAAAGTCAATGGGCAGTGTTTTAAAAAATCAGATTAATTTGATGCATTTCTTTCCAGCTTTATAATGTGTTACTTAATTTTCATATTCATAATCCTGCTATGAAATTTGTCTCCTTTTTTTATGTGAAGAAACCAAGGTAGAATTACAGCCTGTAGTTCCAAGGTACCCGTTTGTACTTGCCAGTGTTTCATGCAGTCCTTTCTCTTTTCACATGTTTCCTATGCCTGGACTGTCTTCAAGCTTTTCCATTTCTGAACATAAGGGCCAGTTCAAGCTTTGCCACCTGTGGATGACCTGACATTCCTAACTAAATTCCCTACTTTCTTTCTAGTGCTGCACATACATTCTAGTATACTCTATCTTTTCATGTCTGTCTTTTCTGAACTTGTGGGTCTCTTGAGTGGATTTTAAATCATTACTGTATTTCCAGCATCATTTTTAGCATGTTACAAGATTGTTGGAGTGCCATTTTCCACTTTTTAAAGTGAAAATGCCATTTAATCAAAATTCATCTTAGAGTTCTTTCACTTATGTGTTTCAGTGAAAAGCTGACATTTAAGTTACACTTTTCTTATTTTGGAAAGCCTTATTCCTATAAATAAGGCTTTGGTTTTAGAATAAAACTTTAAATAGGTTTGGAAAACTACATATTTTAATTTAAAAATTAGCATTTATTAGACATTTTATGACACATTGAAGTTGTAATCACTAGTTTCACAGAAAAGTTGGGTAACATGATGTATGCTAAATCCAAGTTCAGATGTGTGTTGTTTGTGTCTGTGGTAAAGATCGTTCAGTCGGTGCTATAGTGATGTTACCAAAAGGATTAAGTGATTTCCTTCCTAGAAATAATTTGGAAGTTTGTGTATGGTTATATTTAAAATATATAGTGTCAAGAGGCATCATGAGATGATGTTTGTTTCTTTTGTTGTTGAGCTTTTAAAAAAAAGAATTATAGAGATTATTAATTTTTTAAAGATTAATTTATTTAGCATACAAGAGCTCTGGGCTACAGGCCAGAGATGCAGGGGGATGAGAGGATTCACCAGAGACAGATTGGGGAACAGAACAGGCAGACCGACCAAAATACACTCCTGAGAGGAGCAGCGGGCGAGACAGGAGAGGTCTGCTGCGCCATGTAGGTTGCTCCCTGGTGGGCCAGGGATCAAACTCATGCTGTTGAGGCTGTGAATTGCTTCATAGTGCAGTGCTTAACTAACCCTTGCGCCACCAGGGAGGCCCTATTTTTATTTTTTTCTATAGAGATTGAGTTTAAACATAAGCAACAGTAGTCTTAAGTTTATCAATTCCTGTTAAAAACAATAATACCAGTCTTCAGATGGAATCCACTCCAGAACCCTAAAACATACTTCTGTAAAGGTGGAAAGTAAGAATTAAAATAAGTTTTCATAAGTTAGGGCAAGTAAAATGTACAGTGTCAGTAAAGTTTAATAACTTGTGGGCTGAACACTAAATTTAGTTTTTGAACTATTACATAGCCACATAATTTATAAGTATTGAAGCAAATGCTGGCAATAATTGTTACTAAGCTGTTACATACAGCTAATACAGTTGTGAGATGTTTGTTAATTTTCAGCCCCATGAAATTGGGGTTAATAGCTTGAAGATAAGTGACACACAGTCTCTGTCCTCTCTCTCCCACAAAAAAAATACTTTTCAGTTGAGTATTGGCGTTGGTGTTTTATTGTGATAGAATTAAAAGTATGTGCAAAGCTTAATATTGATAAATAAGACTTTAGGAATGACTGTGGGTTTTATTTTTTTAAAGATTATTTATGCATGGAAGAACTGGGGTGTAAGCCAGAGATGGTGGGGGTGGGGCGTGAGAGGATTCACCAGAGAGAGTGGGGAGCAGAACAGGCAAATCTACTGAAATACACTGCTGAGGGGCGCAGTGGGTGAGGCGGAAGAGGTCTGCTGCACCATGTGGGCAGTGGCTAGTGTTAGCCAGATAGTGCTGTTTTAACCCCTGTGCCACAAGGGAGGCGCCACACATATGGGTTTTAAAAACATTGTATGAAGGTTTGGGGATAACTTGAAAAAAAAAAAAAAAAAAAACCATTAGAGCATATAGTGGCTTTGTTAAGAAATTTTATTTGCAAGAAGTGTTTAAATTACAGAGAATAATCTTAAAAATCAGGTATCAAGAATTTTTAGGAAAACAGTGCAAAGATAGGCATGGCTATTATAACAGGGTAATGTTGATATAAAACTGAATCTTGGGGCCTCCCCGGTGGCGCAGCAGTTGAGCGCTGGGTTGCGAAGCTGCCTGCAGCCTCTGCAGCTCCGGTTCAATCCCTGGCTGCTCCCCGGCCTCTGCAGGAGGGTCCCACATCCTGCCGCCCGCTACTCCCCTCAGCAGTGTGCTTCGGTCCTTTTGCCTGCTCTGCTCCCCGCTCTGGCTCTGGCGAATTCTCTCACCTTCCTGCGCTTCTGACTGTACCCAGTGCTTGAATGAATGAATGAATGAATGAATGAATGAATGAATGAATGAAGCAATACCAAGCTTAGTGTTTCAAAAAAAGAAAAAACTGAATCTTGTTTAGACAGGGCTTTTGAATATTTAATTGTTCTTTATGACCTTAATTTGTCTTCTGGACACAGCATATGGAAACACATTGCTTCAGGGAACTGTGAAACACTGACCTTTGAGGCAGAAAACAATCTATTTCAGATTCCAAATTCAGTCCTAAATATCTAAGAAGAACTCTAACTCAGTCCTAACTTTAACATTTTCTTTTAAATGTCCTAGTTGTACGTTGATAATCCACCAATGAAGTATTATATGAACGAATGGAGCTACTTTGGAATTTTGCTGAATAGATTTTGGTTTGCAGTATCACAGAATTAAATATGGGCGAGAGCACGCTTGAAATAGATCTGTGGTAGTTACAAATGTACCGGTGGGAGAGAATTATCAGTTTTGTGTTGATAGTTTGCCCCCCCCCCCATATAATAGCCCAGTACGAGTCACTTATTAAAGTGCTAGCATGTTTTAAAAAAAATCCAGAACATTTTAAGCCTGTTAATAGGATCTCTTGAGGAAAAATGCCAACCCAGATTGCTTTAAATGAGTTTAGTTTAGTTTTTGTAATTTAGACAGTGATGCCCAAATTCTGATCTGTAAATTGATCTGGTTTTTAACAAAGACCAGAACAGTGTTGTGTGGTGATGTTTTGTATTTGTTTTTTAAATATCATTTTCTTTATTCTGCATGTCTTCCCCCCATATGTTGTTGCTGTGGGGTGGAGTAGAATAGGGTGTGGTGATGATTAAAAGTAGATAGCAGAGAATGATGATAACTCTAGTCTTACATATCTTTCCTGAAATCAGGAGTCTGAAAGTCATTTTCCTAATAAATGGCTCATTCAACAAATGAAATTGTTCTTTTTAAATTTTTTTTAAAAAGCTTTATGCATACAAGAGATGGAGTGTAGGCCAGAGGTGGGGGGGGGTGAGGGGATTCACCAGAGACAGAGTGGGGAGCAGAACAGATGAATCCACTGAAATACACTGCTGAGGGGAGCAGCAGGTGAGACAGGAAAGGTCTGCTGCACCATGTGGGCTAGTTCCCTGGCCAGGATCAAACTCGTGCTGCAGTGGCGAATTGCTTCATAGTGCTGAGACTTAATTAACCCCTTGCTCCACCAGGGAGGTCCAAATGAAATTGTTCTTATTTTCACTTGGTTGAAAGCTAAAGTTCGAGAAATGAGAAAATAGGTATTTTTGGTATGTTTTCCATATAGTTTCAAAACTAAGCAATTTTTAAAAATACCTTTGTTTTTTATTCCTCGCTAGGTCTGTAAATATTATCTTTGTGGTTTTTGTCCTGCGGAATTGTTCACAAATACCCGGTCTGATCTTGGTAAGTAAATTTTCTGTAATTTTTATCATATTTACAATTTAAAGGAAAACTTGTTTTTATTACTTTGAAGAGGTTTTGTTCTTAAAGGTTTACTGATACATAATTTTTTTCCTGGCCTGGACTTTTGATTATATTAATAAATGCCAGTGTAGTTAAACATGGTGGCTTAATTAAACATACATGTCTATTTCCACTCCCTTCCAAATCCCCCCCATACTAAAGTGAAAATTTAAAAACAAAAAAGGTGTAAATGAAAGAGGAGATAACATTAGAGATGTCAACAAGTTTTTGGAAGATGACAAGTGGATGGAAGAGCAGCAGCAAACTCAACAAGAGAGAAACTTGTACCCTAAAAGCCTGCAGAAGGTGATAGTAAACAGCAAGTGTTTGATCAGCAGAATCCTGAACAGGCTCAGGAATTGGAGGTACCAGGTACCATAGAAAGCAAAGTTGAGTCGTGGGGCTGAAAACAAGATTTAGTTCAAGGTTGTCTCAACCTTGACATTGACATTTTGAACTTGGATAATTTTGTGTTTTAGGGGTCCAGTGCATTGTATAGTGTTTAGCAGCATTCTTTGCCTCTACCCACTAGATGGCAAAAACAACCATCAATTGTGGTAACCAGAAATATCTCCAGGCTCTGCCAAATGTCCTGAGGCATTGGGGGGGTAAGGGCAAAATTGCTCCCTGTTAGAAGCACTAATCTAGGTAGTGAGACTCTGAGTCCTGTACACCTGGTCATTCTACCTCACACATCCCCTATACCCTAGGAGACTAGGGTCTTATTGTCTGGAGGAATTAGACTAAAGAGATTTGTTCATCTGAACCACAGAATGCAAAAAAAAAAAAAAAAAGTAGTTGAGTGTTCTTCCAAGAATGGTACATAACTAGTACTATTCTGGAAACATTAAGAGATATGTTGATTAAGCACAACTCACCCTAGAGCGATTAGGAGCACTTGAGGGCTTGACGACTCTAGATGTTGGGGTTCCATATACAGCACAGGGTAGCAATGACTAAAATGAGACTGTAAGAGAGATTAAACGAGTCTATATTCTTAATAGTGGGGTTTTCCCATTCCCTTCCTCTGCCCTGTTCCTAGAAGGATACAGCCAGATGTTTTTCCCCAGGCAGAAGAGAAGAAGATTCTTTAGAGAAGTTCCAGAGAAGTGATCTACAGGTACTGACCCTTGGGGAATCTCCTAAAAGAAAATATTACTGCCTGATTTTCCTCTGGTAAACCCCATTAGTTAACAATCCCTTCCTATGCATACCAATCTCTGGTCGTATTTTAGAAGTGTTTTGCCAGCCAAGGAATACCAGCCAGATATTTGAAGAAAACCATCAACATGAAAGATTAACCAAAACCAACAGAAAAAAAAAAGTTTTAATGGAATTAGAAATAACGGGGGAAGCAGAAAGTTTTTTTAACCTTAATTAAACTCCGTATCCTCAGAAAAATAAGAGAAAATAGTAAGAATAGAGTATTATAAAAAAGAAGGGAACTCTTGAAAAACTAAAGCCCTTGGAAATTAGAACTGGAGAAGTTTGAAATAAAATCAGCAGAAATGTTTGAAAATCAAGAAAATTTGCTGGAATGTTGGGTAATTAGAAAAGATCAAGATATGAAAAAGTTATTTTCAGACCAGAACTCTAATAAATCACTGATTACGAGTTACAGAGAAAACAGAAGGGAGGAAATTATGGGGAAATAGCATGGAAAAAAAATTTACAATGCTGAACATGAGTGTGTAGGTTGAATGTGTCCCTTCAAATGCTCAACACTGTGAGGGGGGAAAGACCCATACCAAGGCACACCAATGCGAAATTTCTGAACAGTAGGGGTAGGGGTGGGGCACAAAGGATTATGAATCAGAATGGTCTCAGCCTTGTCAGGAGCAACACTGGAAGTTTGAAGATATGGGAGAAACACCCTCAACACCTGCAGGATTCTGAGCGGAAAATTTTTTTATTTACATTAACTGTATAACCAGACATTAAAATACGAGGGTGAAAAAAGACATCTTCAGACATGCAAAGGTCGCAACAGAATATTCTCTCATGAACCTTTTCTCTGGAAACTCCAACACATGTGCATTAACCAAGAAGGAGGAAAACAAATGATACAGTAAACTGCATCCCGTCAGACCAAAAAGGAATTTCTAAGAATGACAGCTCTATTATTGAGCTTAAAAAATAGGTAGCCCAGATTGAAGCATGACAGGAAGCTTAAGCACAAAAATGAACCTGGTTTCGGGTGATTGGTGGTAATTAGTATTGAGATAGTTTCTACAGTTATAAACATATTTGAGAAGACTTTGGAAATAGATACTAGTGTATTAAATAAAAAGTTCCAATAAAAGTATGAAATGTGTCAAAAGTGTCACAGTGCATCTTTTGTTTGGCCCAGTAGTTAATAATACTATGAATATTTAACCTAAAAATTTGATGTCTAAGATAAACCAAGAAAAAGCAAAATACACAAAGAATTTAGAAATATTGAAGTATTTCAGAAGAAACAGTTAAAAGAGTTAAAATTGACTGCCTTTTAGAGGTAGAAAAGTGTAGGACTAGGGTGCAGTCTTATACCATTTGGCTTCATATACAGGTACTTGAAATTAACATGTTACTGGTAGTTTAGATTTTGGTCTGCCTTCATTACATTTTTTTCCTTGGGCGGCAATAAGGAATGTTTTTCTCTTTCCTCCCTCGCCCTGGTTTTTTTTTTTTTCTTTTTTCCCCTCCTCTTATCAACTCGTTGCTCTCCATCATATTGATCTTGAAGACTAAGAACAGTTTTTTCATATGCTTACTTGGTCATGTGGCTTCATGATTCAGTAGCATCAACTTAGGTGTCTACAGACTAATAAAATTGGATCTTTTTCCCTTTTTTTTATTTAAAAAAAGGACTTTGGTTTTGGCAAGAGAAAAGGTTATTATTGTCACTAACAATTTATATTCATATTTTCCCTTTTTATTTTCCAGGTCCATGTGAAAAAATTCATGATGAAAATCTACGAAAACAGTAAGTTACCCCTTTTGGAGTCATTTTCCCCTACTAGTCATTATTAACCTTAAAAAAGGAAAGGGTCAACTTGGAATTAGTATGAAAATGTCGGTTAGAGGTCCTATTCACTGGCTGGGGTGGTGGAAGATTATATTGCTTCATTAATGATACTTATTAGCCATCATACTACATGCCAAGCTTAAAGCCTAAGCTTTTCTTCTGTATCACATTTGCTTTTTAATAGTCCTGATTTTATAAATGAGACTTGTCCTGGGTCCAGAGCCACAGATCCAACATAGTGGTAGAGTTGGTGTTCAAGCCCTTAGATTTGCCTCATTATAAAACCCATGCCTTCGGCCAACATGCTACATACTGCCTTCCCTTTCCCAAGATGAGGGACACCTAGAAATGCACTTAATATACATCTGGTTTTTACTCTTTGACTTAAATGCAGTAGTCCATGAAACTAGTTAAGGTAGAAAATGTGAGCTGTAATGGTTTAAAAGGTTTGCAAAGAAAATAATGCTTGTTTATTTTCATGTATGTTAGGTATGAGAAGAGTTCCCGTTTCATGAAAGTTGGCTATGAGAGAGATTTCTTGAGATACTTACAGAGTTTACTGGCAGAAGTAGAACGTAGAATTAGACGAGGCCATGCTCGATTGGCATTATCGCAAAACCAGCAGTCTTCTGGGGTGAGTCTAAAATTGCTGAAATGTAGTGTGTATAATGTGCCCCTTTTCTCTGAAGACCAGAAATCTACCTAATAAACATGTTAGTTTACTACTTTGCGTTCTTTTAGAATGATAAAAAGCTTAAAGTTTTCATCTGTAAATTAGTATTGGTAAATGTAATATTGATTGTGCTAATCATAAGATTTTTCTCAAATATCAGTAACTGAAAATATAAATATTGACAAAGATAAGAGTTATCCAACATTTTAATTATTAAGTACAAATATTATTGGCTATTATTAGCCAACATTTTAATTATTAAGTACAAATATGGTGTGTGGGGCTTTGAAGATTCATCTTTGTTTACTCTTTGTGCATTATTCTCAATAGGCAGCTGGTCCAACAGGCAAAAATGAAGAAAAAATTCAGGTTCTAACAGACAAAATTGATGTACTCCTACAGCAGGTAAGAATTGTGTGCATTAAGGTCAGAAAATACTTGGAATAGACACTTGACCAAGGAAAGTATTGGAGTGGCAATTAAACATATGGAGAGATTTTCAGTGTTATTAGTCATTAGGGAAATATGTATTAAAACCAAAATGAGATACTGATTGTATACCTATTAGAATAGCTAACGTTAAAAAGATTGCTCATACTAAGTATTGGTGAGAATGTGGGCAAACAGCAATTATACACCACTAATGGGATATAAAATGGCGTAACCATTCTGAAAAAAATGTTTCTTTAAAAGTTAAAAGATGCATTGCAAGCCATTCTACCTCTAGATATTTACGCAAGAGAATGAAAAGAGTTGTACCCCAGTATTCATAACATGTTCATTTATAACAGATACAATCCCCCCAAACTGGAAAAAACTCAGATGTTGATCACCGAGAGATTGGATAAACAAATTGTGATGTCTCCGTATAGTGGAATACTTAGTAAGGAGTTAGCTGCCTGTTACAGTGTGATGAATCATGAAATGAGACTGGAGGGAAAACCTCCTAAAAAGGCGACTGCAGAGCTCATGGTTCCATTTATATAAAATTCTAGAAAATGCAAACTAGAGTGACAAAAAGTAGATCAGTGATAACTTGGGGAGGGAGTACCACAAAGAGGTCTGAGGAAACTCTTTCGGGATGGTGGATATGGTCATTATCTAGATGACGGTAACATTTCATGGATGTCCAAACTTTTCATACTCTGCACCTTAAAAATAGGCAGTTTGTTATATGTCCAGTTTACCTCATTAAGGCTATAAGAATACCAAAAGGGTAAATTATGCTTAAAGAGGCCTCTTCAGTAGAAAAAAAAACAAGACCCAAACAACATAGAATGCTAATGGAGCTTGGGGAAGGAATACTTGGCTGCTTTATTAAGGGAGTCTTGACTTTTTTTTTTTAACCCCCTTAGATTGAAGAATTAGGATCTGAAGGAAAGGTAGAGGAAGCCCAAGGAATGATGAAATTAGTTGAACAGTTAAAAGAAGAGAGAGAATTGCTTAGATCTACAACCTCGGTGAGTCACCACTTTATTTTATTTTATCCAGGCTGTTCACTGAATTATTGGGGACCTACTTGAGAACCTTAAAAAAAATTTTTTTTAATGTTCTAATTCAAGAATCAGCAAATTTACTCTTTAGAGGGCCCCATAGTAAATACTGTAGGTTTGCCTAGGTCCATAGCAGCTGTTGAACTCCGTGTTTATATTATGAAAGGAGGTTTAAACAAAAATTCATGTTTTGGATGCTGGTGGTTGAATGTAACTGGTTGTTGGTTCCCAAATACTGAACCGCATATGTGCAATAAGCTCAGTTCCTTGAGATGATTTTTAAGCATATTTTCTAATCGGGAGGGCACACCTTTAGCCTATTCAACCTAAGCAAGAAATGAGTTCAGACTAAAATTGGAAGCTTCCAGAAAGGTAGTTTAAGTGTTTCAAAGGTGGTATAGGTAAGTCAGCAGTTGAGCCGTGGCATCTCAACTGCCTGGGTGATTTATGGCTGCTGTTACCACACTCAAAATCATGGTTGGGGTTGGAAAGTGGCAAGTAGCAATTCACAAAATTTGAAATATATTCTAAATAGTAAGTATTGGGGGGGGATTTATTCTTTTCTCCTTAGGTAGTCTTTTAATAGGTTGATTTATCATTTCAGACAATTGAAAGTTTTGCTGCCCAAGAAAAACAAATGGAAGTTTGTGAAGTGTGTGGAGCGTTTTTGATAGTAGGAGATGCCCAGTCCCGGGTAGATGACCATTTGATGGGAAAACAGCACATGGGCTATGCCAAAATTAAAGCTACTGTAGAAGAATTAAAAGTAAGTTGCTGCTGATAAACTGTATTTTAATATAGTTGAAAATTGATCACATAGAAATATAAACCTTGTTGATTAGTTTGTTGATGTTTGTTATTCAGAGCAGTGATGATTCCTATAGAAGCACTTTATTTCCTGCATTGCTTAGTGCCAAGAATTTGAGAGAGCGGCTGTTCACGAGGATTGTTCATTTAGTCAAGTGGTACAATTTTGTGTTGTATATACATGGTGTTGGAATTTCTACGTTTCCCTCTTAGGGCATCAAACTCCATGAGGTGGCTTACATATCACTTCATACTAGGTAACCCATCACCTGACAGTGTCATTAAGATTATAATTCTGTAAAAGTCCAACATGATTTTTTTAGGAAAAGTTAAGAAAAAGAACCGAGGAACCTGATCGTGATGAGCGTTTAAAAAAAGAGAAGCAAGAACGAGAAGAAAGAGAAAAAGAGCGGGAGAGAGAAAGAGAAGAAAGAGAAAGGAAAAGACGAAGAGAAGAGGAAGAAAGAGAAAAAGAAAGGGCTCGAGATAGAGAAAGAAGAAAGAGAAGTCGTTCAAGAAGTCGACATTCAAGCCGAACCTCTGACCGAAGATGCAGCAGGTCTCGGGACCACAAAAGATCACGAAGCAGAGAAAGGCGGCGAAGCAGGTATATTAAATACATGAAACACTGCCTGTTTCATAAATGTGCCATAAACCATGGTCATTATTAGTGTCATTCCTTGGTGCTAAGGGAAGTTCTGAGCACTAGAATAGATTATAGGAGTTGAGTCAGTGAGTGAGTCCCATCTTCAGGTCAATGATTTGCTGTTTCCTAGATGTGGAGGTTTTATTAGAAAGTCATTGTACCATATGGTGACCTAAGTGCTCTCTTTCATTGATTCTAAGAAGGTGTTTTGATTACAAATTATTTTCAGTAAGTTGACCCACTTACTCTGCTTTGAACAGCATTACGGGTCAAGAACTAGCATGTCATAACCAATTTAAAAACATGACAATATAAGACCAGTTTTACTATTTTAGAGTTATAATTGAAGAAGAATCATACAGAACATGATAACTATTTTAGCACTGTTTGAGAAATTGAATTTAAAAAGACCTTTATTTTCAGTTTTTAAAATTGCTAATGTATGTTTTAGTACATTTTATTTATTTGCCTTAATAAGTTTTGCTTGATCTTATTTATTCAACAGTATATAATTCTTCAAGGTTTTTCTCATTGTAATGTCAGCTGACATTGGTTTTCTTTTGTTTTAAATTACTAAGAAGTAGAGATCGACGAAGAAGCAGAAGCCATGATAGATCTGAAAGAAAGCATAGATCTCGTAGTCGGGATCGAAGAAGATCAAAAAGTCGGGATCGAAAATCATATAAGCACAGGAGCAAAAGTCGGGAGAGAGAACAAGATAGAAAATCTAAGGAGAAAGGTTAGTTTGTGTCAGAATTTAAATCATTAAGAGACTGTTTTCATACACTGTCTCCCACTCTTCTTTGGACACAGGTAACGCTCCAGTTCAGCTGTGTGCCTCACAGTGAGCGCCGTTCCTTGGAGACAAGCATATTCCCTTTTTCTGCTCTGATTTGCAAGAATGACATTTGACCTGTTTTCTTAGAACTTGTTAAAATCTCATCCTTTAATTGGTAACCTGAAGGTTTACCATCTAGATTCTTCCAAGTCCTGCATTACCTGTCAAGAATATTAGGTTACAGAATTTATTACATTGGTTATTGGCTACATTTTTTTATGTGCTGCTGTGTTCATAGATCTTAAGAGTAAATGTACGTTGTTGTTGCATTGGTCCTCATATACAACATTCATTTAATGCAGTAATTTCTAAGTTTGCAGAAGTTGAACACCTACATGAAACACATGATCTTTTCCCTTTACTTTTTTTTTTTTTTGAAATTACTTGAAGGACAGAGCTTTAATACTTATTTATACATACATACATACATTCAAGCACTGGGTACAGTCAGAAGCGTGGGAGGGTGAGAGAATTCACCAGAGCCAGAGCGGGGAGCAGAGCAGGCAGAAGGACCGAAGTACACTGCTGAGGGGAGCAGCGGGCGGCAGGAGAGGTCTGCATACCATGTGGGACCCTTCTGCGGTGGCCGGGGAGCAGCCGGGGATCAAACTGGTGCTGCAGAGGCTGTAGGCAGCTTCGCAATCCAGCGCTCAACCACTGCACCACCCTGGATGCCCCTTTTCCCTTTACTTTTTCCTTTGGTTTTCTGTGGCATTCCAGTAGATAGTTCACTATGCAAATAGACTTTACCTTTTGTCTTTGGCATTTTTTTAATAGGTTTTTTAAAGAAAGGTTTTATTTTCATTTACGCATGCAAGAACTGGGGTGTAGGCCAGAGGTATGTGTGTGGGGTGAGAGGATTCACAGGAGATAGAGTGGGGAGTAGAACAGGCAGATCTACTGAAATGCACTGCTGACGGGAGCAGCGGGCGGAAGAGGTCTGCTGCAGCATGTGTGGGTTAGCTCCCTGGCTGGGGTTCGAATTCACACTGCAGCAGTGATAGCTAGTGTGATAGTGCTGAGAGTTAACCCCTATGCCACCAGTGAGGCCCAGCCTTTGGCATGTTTTCATAAGAATCTTCTGGTCTTTTTTTTTTTTTAAGATTTATTTATACAAGAGCTGGGGTACAGGCCAGAGGTGCGGGGGGTGAGAGGATTCACCAGAGACAGAGCGGGGAGCAGAACAGGCAGACAGACCGAAGGCACTGCTGAGGGGAGCAGTGGGCGAGACAGGAGAGGTCTGCCGTGCCATGTGGGTATTTCCCTGGCTGCCCGAGAATCGAACCCGCACTGCAGAGGCTGCAGACAGCTTCACAGTGCTGCGCTCAACCCGCTGCATCACCAGGGAGGCTCTCTTCTCCTGTTTTAGCTTCGCTTTTATTGAAAAATAATCTTTTTAATCAGGGTCTCTTCAAATTCTTTTTATTTTGTATTGACTGGGATATAGTCCGCATGGTTTTTAGAAATAAAAGTGTCTATTGGGTTGTCAGAAAAGTCGCCACATTTTTGCTTGAGAAACAGAAAACATTGGTCATGGCATTTCTGACAACCCAGTATTTCTGATTTTCTTGGCTCTGCTTGTTCCTTCCTGTTGTGTTTATCAGTGTTTGTGTTTGATCACCAACATAATATAGTACTGCTGTTTGAGTTTATTGCACTAATTTTTTTTTTTTTAAGATTTATTCATTTATGCATACAAGGGCTGGGGTACAGGCCAGAGATGCAGGGGGTGAGAGGATTCACCAGAGACAGAGTGGGGAACAGAACAGGCAGATTGACCAAAGTACACTGCTGAGTAGAGCGGCGGGGAGTCAGGAGAGGTCTGCTGTGCCATGTGGGTTGCTCCCGGGCTGGCCGGGCATCGAACTCTTGCTGCAGAGGCTGTGGATTTCTTCATAGTGCAGTGCCTAACCCCTTGCGCCACCAGGGAGGACCTACACTGATCTTTTAAGTAATACCCATTTATTACCTTTTTATTTTTTTTTTTAAGATTTATTTATGCATACAAGAACTGGGGTGTAAGCCAGGGGGGTGAGGGGATTCACCAGAAAGAGTGGGGAGCAGAACAGGCAGATCTGCTGAAATACAGTGCTGAAGGGAGCAGCTGGTGAGGCGGGAGAGGTCTGCTGAGCCATGTGGGTTGCTCCTTGGCCGGCTGGGGATCGAACTCATGCTGCAGTGGTTGGCGACAGCTTGATGGCACTGTCTTTAACCCATGTGTCACCAGGGAGGCCCTTACTACCTTTTTAATAGAATTATCCCAGATGGAATTTAGAGTGTGTGTTTTTGGCTGGGCTCGGATTTTTGCTAGACCGAGTTAAACTAACAGCACAATGGATATATTTTTTTGGTCTTCTGCTTTTATTTTTCCTTGTATAAGTGCACCTTCTTTTTTTTTTTTTTTTAAGATTTATTATTTATTTATACAAGCACTGGGTACAGTCAGAAGTGCGGGAGGGTGAGAGAATTCACCAGAGCCAGAGTGGGGAGCAGAGCAGGCAGAAGGACCGAAGTACACTGCTGAGGGGAGCAGCGGGCGGCAGGAGAGGTCTGCACGCCATGTGGGACCCTCCTCCGGTGGCCGGGGAGCAGCCGGGGATTGAACCGCCGCTGCAGAGGCTGCGGGCAGCTTCGCAACCCAGAGCTCAACTGCTGCACCACCGGGGAGGCCCGCACCTTCTCTTTTTTAAACACTGGCTTTGCATATATTGGCTTTTTCTGTAAGATGTAGGAAATGTTTAAAAGTAGGAAGAGACATCGATTTTCAAGTTACCGTTACTAGCTTTTATATTTGTCACTTAAATTCTGTGAATAAAGGGTGATTGCTACAAAATGTTAACTGGTTTTTACTTTAAAGAAAGTTTCACGCAATCTTTTTGCAAAACTTATTTGTATTTAGTGTTTTTGAGGTGAGTGGTCAACTCTCAGGAGTCCAAAATGGATGGATGTCAGAGGTTAGACCAACATTTCTGTTTGAGATTTAAAGCTCTTTTCTCTGTCATTCTCGTCACTTGGAAAAACCAATGCATGGCTCTGGCCTAGCAAAAAACAGAATGTGTTGTGTGTTGATTTCTGGATAGAGCAAAAAAAGATGTCTTGAGTTGCTTATAGTCCTAATCATAATGATGATATGGAATGCAGTGAAACTTTTAACTAGAAAAGCTGAGTTGTGTTTAGATTATGGATAGACAAGAATTTTCCTAGTGAGGTGTGAAGGAAGAAGTGAAGACGAGTCAGAGAAAACTGTACTGGGTCCTTCTTTAAAATTTGGCATGCCATTATAGATTTATCTTGAATTTGGCGGTCTCTTTTGGAAGCAATAGGATTCATTTGCCATGTAGTCATTCAGGCACTCCTAGGTATATAAATGACTAGAGACCTGAACTTTGAGACCAGATAGGAGTAATAGCAAGCAGGCCTTTGGCAATGGCAGCTGAGCAAGCTCACTAGGATAGGTGTTGTGATGGAAGCAGTTTATATCCATATAACTTCATAAATGAAAAGAGGTTTCTTGCACAAACCTTATCTTACCACCGACCAATTTAGGGTGCTCTCTTTGTCAAGAGTTTCCCTTTTTAATCTATAGCCCTAAAATCCACCATACTTTGTGGATGACCTTAGGACTATTAAGATCTACCATATTTATATAGGGCAGAAGATAAGATTATTGGACTGACTACTAGTCCTCTACGGGGCAACAAGACGACTCTTCCTCATTGAAGCTACCTGTGCACCGGAGAAGCCCATAAGGCACAAAGGGAGGACTTTCCCACAAGGTCAGTTAGAGCACATTGTTGGCACAGTTCTCATAAGTGGATGGACAGACAGACATGAAGCCAGTCCTGCAGTGAACTATTTGGTCATTTCTTTATGTATTTTGCAAGTGTTATGGACTGATATTCTTAATGTGAGAGCTTCAGTTCTTACATTCTTTGAGTGCCCCTCCCATACCATATTTTGTTTTCATGTCCATCCCTCTCCCAGTTATTTGGTGCTGTGTTTGAATTACTTTGTCCAGAATCTTTAGAGGCTTCTGCTTCTCTTAAAACATCTTTCTGTCTTACAAATTACTCTGCTGGATCAGCTATTCCTAATATAATTTTAAGGGAAGAAATAATTTGTGTAGAAAGTTTCTAGTTTGTGTTAACAGTTTCTGTAGGAATCTTTTGTTAAGCAATACTTGGAACTGAATAGGCTAGAATATATTTGCTGTGCGTGACACTTTTTGCCTGTAGTCTGAGGTTTCACCATTGCAAAGAATACAGAAGAAAAAGTTGAGATTTACTTTTTTCATTTATTAGCAGCTGAGCTAAATATTTTTCCTTAGGAAAACCAACTCTAAGATGGCGCAAAATACTACTTTCAACAAAACAGAAAAGTCAGTTACTTGGATTGGAATTTAAGGTCTATTTTCTTTCATTGGGTTTGTCCCGCTTAGGTAATCAATTACTATACATGTGTAATGTTTTTCTTTTAAGTAAATATAGTTGGATAAGTATACCTATTAGGCATTCAAGTATTTCACCTTTGGAGTTACTGTTTTTACTAGTTTAACAAAAATTTACTCCATATAATTTTGTGTACTACCTTTCATACCTTTCCCACTGCTTCCTGATGTCCTTTATCCCAAATGAATTTTATTGAAATTTAGATTTTGCAGTGATTTCTTCATAGTTTCTCACAAGTTTGAGAGAATTTGCCTACTGTTTTACCTTTTGCATTTTAAAATTCCTGTCCTGCCTTGCCCTCTATATCACAAATTTATCTTCTAGATAGATTCTCTAAACTACCTGTAGTGTGTGGGAAATGATTGTCTTTTCATCTCTGTTTCGCTTTTCAAAGTGTTACCTATGTTATTTTACTTTAAAATCCATGATCAATGTCTTCTTTTATGGCAGAAAAGAGGGGATCTGATGATAAAAAAAGTAGTGTGAAGTCCAGTAGTCGAGAAAAACAGAGTGAAGACACAAACACTGAATCAAAGGAAAGTGATACTAAGAATGAGGTCAATGGGACCAGTGAAGACATTAAATCTGAAGGTGACACTCAGTCCAATTAAAACTGATCTGATAAGACCTCAGATCAGACAGAGGTAAGTGTATTGTTTCTCACTTTGATTAGGGCTTTTTGTTACTGTTTGACAGTGCAGCGTAAGTATGCACAGATGAAGATGGAACTAAGCCGTGTAAGAAGACATACAAAAGCATCTTCTGAAGGAAAAGACAGTGTAGTCCTGCAAAACATTTTGAGGTACATTGTTTTGTCTCAGCTATTTTGTAGCAGACTCGTGCCCCCATTAGTGTGCCTCTTTGGAAATTATTGCCCACGTTTGTAATGTAGTCACCATTGAAAAGTTAATTATCCTTTTTTTAGGGATTTTGCTGTCATTTCTTTTTTTTTTTTTTTTTTAAATAAAAAAGGTTGAACTGTTTTTTTTTTTCTTTTTTTTTTTTTTCTTTTTGGTATTAAGTCCATCTTGTGTTGGTACATTGGCAGAGACATATGCTTTAAAAACTTAATATTTCTGAGGCACATGTTGGACTACTTTGTTTTAATTAAACTGCTAGTATTTCTTTGTCAAGGATGTTTCTAGTTTTTTGCTTTATTGCCTTGCATTCTAATGCAGTTTGTTCTGTAACTCGAGAGCCAGTAGCATTGGATTGATGGAAGTGTAGGGTTTATGAATTATTGCAGCTGACTACCATACCTCACACAGCGTTGGTGTTGTGAGCGGCCCATGAAAAGCCAAATTAAAAATCAAGGATTCAGTCAAACTAAGCAGGTACTCATGCCAGGTACTCCTTTCTCTACCCACATCCATGTTTGAATGCTATTGCCTGTGATCTTTACGCTTAACTGTTGTGTATCTTTTTTGTTCTTTACAAGAAGCACAGAGGGGTTTTTTGTGTATTGCGTGAATACTTATAAATCAAATGTTAACAGAATGGAATTTTTTTTCGACTGTATGTAGGGATGCAGTGGTGCCCAGAATTAGATATCTTTAAAGAATTTTAAATACAATAAACACTTCATATTATTCGCCTTGTTACATTCAATGCAATTCTCAAGTCTTTAAGAGGTATGTGTTTAATATTTCCTACTACGTAGGAGAATTTGCAGTCAACTATAGTATATAGGAATAGTCACTGGCTGATACAGCAGCAGTGAATAGCAGGGACAGACACCTTCAGTCTGTGAAGTACAAAGAACTAAATGGACAATATAGAATGAATTTGGGTTTTTAAAGAACTATTTAAGGTCAGATTTTATGAGTTCTTAAAACCTGTAAACTGTTCATTCTTTGGGCTAGTGGCGTGGGATGAAATATTCCTAATGAAAGGAAGTACCAATTAGATGATTTGTCGGTAGCATTCCTTTTCTAGGACAGCAATCTAGTGTTATGTCTGTGTGAACCATTTGCACATAGGCAAGCATACACAGGCACATGGCTTTAAGACCACACTGATGCCTTGATAATTAAAAGGAAAACAGACATTCATATACATATGTTAATTAGAAGTTAGTGACTGGGCCAACACTTTAGTCATAAATATTTGCCTTTTACATGTTTTCTAATTATCATTTTTCCCCAAATTTTGCATTGTAGGACACTGTTCGAAGATTCTTGGATGAATATGGAAAACGACTGTAAAGTGAAGATCGACATTAAAATGAGGTGAAAGAAAGATAATAGTGGCATAGAAACAGTATAAAAGCTCAGTTAGTTTTTGTTTTTGTTTGTTTGTTTGTTTGTTTTTTTAATTAAAAATTAATTCAGGACTGATGTGACCTACCAGATTTCAGAACATGTGTTAATAGCATATATGCCACTGAAAATTTAGGTCCTGTATCATATTTTTTTTCTTTGAGACTTTTTAAGAAATATTACCTAAACATGTGACTTGCCCAGTGTTGAAATGCAAGTTTTCATTCTTGGACTTTGAAAACAGGATTAAAAGTTAGTATTTGTGTGAATCAGAACAAGTGGGATTCCATTTTTACACCTCTGCTATACCTAGACTTTGGATTTAGTGAAAATAAAGTATCTCTGACTTTCTGTTACAAATTTGATTGTCTCTGTCATTGATAAGTTTTAGTATTAATCTTTTTCTAATAAAGTTATTGACTCTGAACTAGTCCCTTGTTTTAAATATGAGGTACACTGTTAACTAGAAGTGTTGGTGTACAGTTTTACCTGACTTGTTCTGTTTAAGACTACTTTTTATAAGAGTTTGCACAGTTAAAATGTTTTAATAATGGTGCTCCAATTTTGAGTGATTATGAATAAATTTGAATTTTGCTTTTAATAGCGAAGTTGTACAGTGAACTAGAATATATTTTTACACCACCGAGAGATTCCTTTAGCAGTAGAAAATTTAGAATATTCTCTGATAAACAACTATCAGCCATTAGTTGTGAAATAGTGATGTAGAAGAGCATTCAAGAACTTTTAACCAGCTTTTGGTCTTTGTTTTAAAATCTGTATCAAGATTTTTTTAAATTTGGTCTTGTCAGATTACAAATGTATTTATTTCCATGTATGAGGTGTATAGTACATACGAGGATTTTTGAAAAACTAATGCTTATGCAGGCAATTATTTTTGTCACAGACAGCAGAATTTGCAGCATGTTTGTCTCTATATCCAGCTTTGTTAAATATGTAAGAGGTATTGCTAGCTGCATATATCATTAGCAATTCTTTGTGATTTATAAATTTCAGATACTGCCATCAGTCTGTTGGTAGAGAGACTTAATTGAGTAAACAGCTTGCTAAGGTCCTATGGCTCTGTATTGAGAGCCAGCACATGGAATATCTAGGTCTCTGCCTCATGTTCTAGTGCTTCTCTATCATGCCAGCCTATTCATACTTAAAGGCATAATGAACTGTTGTAGGTTTTACTAAAATGCCCTCCACCAAGCTTTGGAAAGTCATTGATGGTGCCACTTCATTGGCTATAATAGTCATGTGTCACTTAACGATGGAGATGCGTCCTGAGAAATGCCTTGTTAGGTGATTTTGGCATTCTGCAAACGTCATAGAGTATAATTACACAAACCTCAATGGATAGCTTACGACAACCTGGGCTGTACGTTAAAGCCCTTGGGACCACCATTTTATATGTGTACTATCGTTAAGCTACACCTGATTTTAGTAATGCTGTGGGCACAGAGTGCTACAGGCTTACCTTGGATCCTGGAGATGCAGCAGTGGGTGAATGACCTCTCTGGATTTGTCAGAAGTGATTTACATGAGGATTAAGATGGGAAACATAATATAAGTCAGCCATGTCCTGAGCAATGCTTCGATAGGACTGTGGTTGTAGGAATAAGGGAAATAAATATATTAGCAAGTATTAAGAAAAGCAGAAAACAATAAATTTACTCAAGTATTAAGGTATTAAAATTTAGCCAGATTATTTGTTATGCGTCCTCTAGAACCAGTAATAGAATGATTTCATAAGCCTTTTGCATCTCTCTGGACACTTAGGTCTATTGATTACTGTTAAAATTAGTATAGGATTGGGAGGAGTGGGGTGTTCATGACTAAGGTTTGGTCTTAGTTGTGAAAAATCTAGAAGCTGGGTTGTTTTCACACCCCTCCCCCTCCCCCACAGCACTTTAATTTTATCTTGCTCAAGAAGTGATTCTTGCTAACCAAACTCATAAGATTCAAATATAGAGACTTTACAAGAACTACACATTTTTGCCATGAAGACCAAAAAATTCAGTTGGTTAGTATTTTCTCTGAAAAATCTTTTAAGGGCAGTCATTTTTATTAATCAGATTACTTGATATGATTGGAATCAGAAGTTTTAACTTTTCACGTTTTAGAAAAATAAAGAGACATGCACTAAAGTAGAACAGTATATTCTCCATAGCCAGTTGTGTGTGCGTGCGTGTGTGTGTGTGTGTGTGCATGTGCATGCGCGCGTGCGTGCGCACGCACTTGCCTGGCCCACTATTTTCAAGTCTCAGAAGCATCATTTAATCTAAATATTTCATCTTGTATCTCTACAAGATAAAGACTCAAATACTCATTAATATAAGTTGGATGAACTTCCACCTGACCAGTTATGATCACTACTATTCTACTGGTTTGATTCTACTTATTTTCCATGTGCTTCTCACAGGGACCAGTTGATTGAATCTGCTGTTCAGACATCCTCCCCTCTGCAGTGTAAAGACTGCATCATCCCTCCTTTTAGGACATACTTTTCTTCTCCAAACATATCAGAATTCATTATTTCCAATTTGATTCAAAATACCCCTCACTTTCGTAAGCTTAAAATAATCATCTTACCCAGTTTAGATGTTTGGCTCCTCTCCTTACAGCATTACTCACCTTCAGGTAGTCTGTGTGGTTTCATAGTATCAGAATAAGGCCTGAGAACACTTTGACATCATGTGGGTTGAATTCAGATACCTTATTTAAGTTTCTAGACATGTTAAGCAATTTACAGTGGAAGTTTTTTTGAACTTGTGTTCATTCTATGCTTTTAAAAAATGCATTGTTGATGAGCTTTGTGAATGTTTTAATACATTATCCTAAAGTGCATGAAACAAACAAACCTTGAGAATATGTGTGTATTTTCTGTGAAATGGGACTTCTACGTTCTGGGTTGGTTTTCAAGTTTGAGTTCTGCTTTTTAGTTGCTTATGAAAGAACCACAAGGGACCACTTAATTTTTTTTTGTATTACAATTGTGCTTGTACACAGTTCAAAAAATACAATAATAGAAGTGTTCAGCAATCTGTGTCTCCCTTCTAGCCCAGTCCCTCTGTTCTTCCTCTCTAGGAGCTACTATTGTTAGCAATTCTTCTTCCAAGTAGTTATTTTTGTGGGGAGGGTGGGTGGTGGGCCAAGTAAGCATATATGTATAGATTTTTTTTATATATTATGGTACACCATATGTTCTGAACCTTGCTGTTTTCATTCGGTATATTTAGAAACATTTAAGTTGAGACATAGGGATAGCACTTCTACGTTTTAACTTGTAATTTGAAAAGTATATTTCAAGTAAACCAAAACAGAAGTAAATGTATTTTTCATTGTTGTATCCAATTTTTTAATTTCCATTTAAAAAATGCAGTTGAGCGTTTCATAGGTGGATTTTTTCTTTCCCTCAGCCATCCAAGTAGATCAGTTATCAACAGATTTAAGAATGTTTAGGAACAGTAGCTTCAGAAAACAATTTGGTGTACCTAACTGGGTGGGCCATAAATTGTCTTGTGGCTATTCCACCCTAAATACGACCCTAGACATTACACACATGAGCCAGCCAGAGTGTCACAGCAGCTTTGTTTGTAATAGGAAGAAAAGGAAAGTAAACGGCACGTCCCCACTGTCCATGCACTGGATAAGCGTTCCTACAGTGGAATCCCACAGGAGTCACCCTGAGCTGCAACTGCACATGTGAAAATGGATGAACCTCAACATAATGAAAAAAAGCAAGTCACAGAAGAACACATTCTCTGTGGTTCCATTTCTCTGAAGGTCAGAAACAGGCTGTTAAAATGTATGTAAATGGGAGAAAAGCAAGGAAGCATTAACAGAATTCAGTGTTACCCCTGGCGTTAGAAGATGGAGGGAATGAGAGCCTGGAGGACAAGGGGACGGCCTCCAGAGGAACTGGTGATGCGCTGCTGCTAAAGCTGGGTGGGTGGTTTCTTTTTAAAACTGTATGTATATCTGCTTTATGTATGTACCATTTCTTAATAAAATTTAAATTTAAAAAAGAATGGGAAAGGTCTTGGTGTAGGTAGTGACTAAATAGATAATGCAAGCAGTGTTCCATGAAGTTAATCACTGAAGAGCAGAGTTAAGGTCCTGTTTCTTCAGTGCCAAATTTAGGGTCTTAATTGTAGTTCTTTAAAAGCTAGAAGCAGGACCTAAACGTATCTTCTTTGTGGTACCTTATTTTTTAGTGTGATGTGATTTTCATTTGGGTGCTAGCCAGGGAGCTCATGCTTTTGTTCTGAGCTGCTTCCAAGGAAGCTTTTCTGAGATTTATGCCTTTCCAGAAGGGGAAACTGCAGTGGGGAAAAGAGCCAGGCTCCTGGCCCATGGTCAGCACATTAGTTGTCATCTCAGGGGCAGCAGCTTTATGGGTGCCTTGGAGTACTAAAATCTATGTTCTTTAAAAGAGGTGATTGAAATTTGAATGCACCTGCGAGTACGTAAGATTCTCATAGGTACTGCCTTCTATCAGCAGTTACCCTCACCCCTCCCCACCCCCACTCCCCACATGAGATTTGGGTCTCGTCAGGGTGAGCTCAGGGTTTAGCAGGTGGAGTTCATTCAGCATGTCTTGAGTGCTGCTAGGTGACGTGTTGTTCTGATCCCTTGGCGACAGTGAACAGGAGGGTCGCCCCTTTTCCTAAGGGAGCCCTTGGGTAGCTCCCTCAGGGCTGTGAGTTGTATGGGAAAGAGTTCTGATCTGAGGGGTGGAAAGCTTGTCAACTACGAATTCTAGGTCACTCCATGTATTAACCTAAATGTTTAGGAATTTTTCCAGGTAGCATTCTAGTACCTGATTTCAATGACTTGAAAAATCATGAAAGGACAAAATGACAAAATCTTTAGTGAAATTGTAGTTCATTCAAATTAGTTTTTACAATCTGCATGAAGTGAAAAGTCACTTGAAGCTTGTAAAATTTTGTTTTCTTAACCATCTGCAGCCTTTAAGACTTCATTTTTTCATAGAAAATGAATTTTTAAATTTTTCAGTGTAGTCTGCGGTTAGCTTGAAGTAGGTATTGAATTTGCTCATCAGTCTTGTGATGACTGGTTACCCTTGTTGTGATCTACAATTAGCCACTTGCTAACACCTGCACAGGCTCGGCTATTGTATGTTTGCTTCCTGACTTTTTCCTTCCAGTAAATTCTGCCATGTTCACTTACTAACACAACTCATAATCTCACACAAATGGTGATTGAGGGTCAATAATAACCAATCTAGAGCCCCTGCCTAAATTTCCCTTACTCAAAACTGAAGATACCTCAGGGAGGTGGCACTTGGGGATTGACCCCCCTGTCACCTATCGCAGTGGTCTGGTCATGA